CTTTGTACTCCAGCAAATCATCTGCTTCCAGGCGACATGAGACCGGAGCCATGTCACTTGCTGCAGTCTCTGCAGATGGCAGCTGGACCAGCAGGATGTCCGGGGACACTGCGGGGTCTTCCCAGACAGTCTGTGGAGCTTGTCCCAGGCAGGGCAGTGTCACCGTGCTGACCACCACTTTGGTCCCTCCTCCCCCTTCACCTGCTCAGAGTCACATCCAGATGTGTGGGTGTTGGGAGGGAGTGTAATGGCAGAGCTGTTCAGGGATGATGGCCTTGGTCTGTCCATAGGATTGACCAACAGTCAGACACTGCTCTGGCAAGTTGGAGGCCAATTGTGCTTTCCATACCCACATCCTGTTTAGGGGACCCTGTGGTGCCAGCAGACCCTAGGCCTCAGTTTCCCTGGTAGCCTGAGGCAGCTCCAACATCCATTCTGTGGGCACAGGCTGTGACACTGTCCTTGAGGTTGGCATTTGTAGTGTGTAACTCTCACTGTCCAAAGTAACATCACACTTTTGCTGTATGACGCACGTGCTCACCTCCAGACCCCAGTGAGTGATGTCCACATATTCCCTTACACAACTTTCATGCCACTTCCACGTTACAGATGAGGAGATAGTGGCTCCAGGGATGAATCATGTCAGCTTGGTGGCCGACAGTGGGAATTACAAGTGGAGGTGGCTTACACCAACTAGTATCCCAGATGGCTGGAAGCCGTGTCTTGTTTCTCTAGCAGGGGTGGGGAATTCTTTTTTTTTTTTTTCTGCCAAGGACCACTTTAAAACATCATTTCCTCAAAAACGATCAACTTAAAAAGTCACCCTGCTACAGATGTATTGATTTTCTAGAATGACCTCCGGTTGCTTGGCAGGTTCAGACCTAGAGATTCCTTGGGCCTTGCGCATTCCCCAGCCCCTTGCTAGATGCAGCGGTGTCCACTGCACATGCAGCCGTCCACTGCACTCCTACTGTGCAGCATCCAGACCCAGGCCCTTCCTGCCTGCTGGCTCTTTCCTCTGTTGCAGAGGTGACGACATTGCCCAGAGGACCGCAGCTCCCCTTTCAAGTCTTTCCTGGAAGTTGCCTCTTCTGCTCACATCTCCCTGCCCAGAATGTAGTCACACATGCACAGCAAATGGCAAGGCAGGCTGGAGAATGCACTGTGGGCTTCCAGGGACCGCATGCCAGCTGACAATTGGCATCTTGGAGGAACAAGGGTGGTGACAGGTTGATGAAGAATGCAGACTCCTCAGAGAGTCTGACTACCTTGGTTTGGTCAGGTCTAGCCATTGACTGGTGAGCAACTTTGGGTAGTCTGTGAGTTCGCTCATTCACTGATCCAGCAGCTGTCTTTGAGCATCTCCTCCATCCCGAGACACCGTAGTGGACAGACAGACACAAACACAGGCCATGTGAAGCTTCATTTCCAGTGGAGGGAAGTGAGGTAATACATGCGGCAAGAAGATGGGTCATGTTTGGTGGGGGGGGCAATAATAAAACAGAGAGATGGCAAGAGAAGCTGTATGTAGGTGCCATGTTCCCTGAGAAGCTGGGACCAGACAAAATACTCAAAGGGTCTTTCTTCTGGGGAGGAGAAGATCACCATGCTAAGGCCCTGAGGCAGGGGGTGTGGCTTGGTAGAGGACTAGCATGCGAGCAGAGTGTGGGTGAGGCAGTCGTGGGCTCAGGACCCCAGGTGGGACCTGGGAGAAGAGAGTGATGGAGGGGGAACAGCAGGTGGTCTGTGTTTCACTCTGGCTGCTGCATTACCCAGCCTGAAGGGGACAAGTGAGAGGGGGCACATTGAGCCAGAGGCTGCCTGGACAATCCTGGTCCCCATCCACAGGAGAAGGCTGAACACTGGCTGGGCCAGGGGAGGGGGGTGGGCATAGGCAGCAGCCAGCATCTGGGCCCATTGTCTTTTGAGGGGCGAACTGGAAGTGACTTCATGTACCCTGGTCTCTGCCATTTTGAGGATGGAGATGCCCGTGTACAGCTAAGGAGCTGCTGGGAGGGCAGCGGGTGTGGGATGGGGCAAGGGGCACCAGAAGTCAGGGTGTGCCAGAGTGGAGGACAAGGGACCTACCACCCCTCCAAGGGGAGCCAACAGGGAGTAGTCATACTGGGTGGGGTCAGAAACATGGCAAACAGCGTTGAAAAGCCAGCACCAGCCAGCACGGTTCTTATTTTATTTTCTAAAGAGTAATTTATATATATATATATATACATACTGAAAGGGAGAGAGAGAAAGAGCATCTTCTATCTGTTGATACAATCCCCAAATGGCCACAATGGCCAGGACTGGGCCATGTAGAAGCTATAAGCCAAGAACCCCTTCCAGGTCTCTGACATGCAGATGGCAGGAACCAAGCTTGGGCCATCTTCCAATGCTTTCCCAGGCTCATTAACAGGGAACTAGATGGGAAATGGAGCAGCTGGGACTCGAACTGGTGCCCCTGTGGATTACTGGTGCTGCAGGCAGTGGCATCATCTGCCAGAGTCCAGCCCCAGCTGAGTTCGGAACTCGCGAAGGGTGCGTGGATGAGGCGCAAAGAAAGAAAGAGACGGACCACTAGGACTTCATCATCATAATGGACGAAGCACAAAAGCTGTCCGCTTTATTTATACAAAATCAGTCAAACTCTGGCTCAGACTTTTTACGTCATGGTCAAGTGGGTGTTTCTAAAGATAACTGCCATTTGTTTCACCTAAGGCTAGGATGTTAACCACCTGGTGCCTGGCACCTGGCGCCTGGCTAGGAAAAAGTTCTCAATAGATGGTGCATATCAATCACTAATACATTCCTACCACAATTACTCTACAGCTTGGTCTTGAGACAGTCAAGGAAGGAAGGGCTTCACAGGAGGGACCTAAAAGATCAAAGAAAGAGGGAAAGAACAGATTCCCACTACACTGAAGACAGAACACCCTTGATTAGCATAGGATCAAAAGAGGGGGTTAGCACCCTTGATTAGCATATTGCCACAGGATGCAGCCGGAACAGCAATAACAGCTTTTTGGCTAAAAAAACGGCAACAGCAATATCAGCTTCTAAGCTCCCATTGATATTTAACAGTAACTCCGCAGAGGCAGACAATGCCTAAATAGATTACAGAAATCTCAATGGGGTTGTCCGGTGTCCATGCAAAGGGAGGCAGAGCTGCACTCAGGTGTTGTAGAGACATCCACCGGGCCTTGCCACACAGCGGGACATTCCTTGCGGCCTTGCCTGCAAAGGAACGATACTCTTCACACCTTCCTGTCTTCCACATCCATCACGGACCCCAGCAATCACCCACTGTGCCACAGTGCCAGCCCCAAGCATGGGTCTTTAATCTCAGCTTCTTCACTTTTGCTGTGAGGATTAAAAGCACAACACAGAGCAGCCAGCCCATTGCCTGGCACGTCTGTGTGTCTGTGGGGAATGGGGATCATTACCAGCCACCAACAAGGCTCGGGGGCAGTGAGGGGCACCCTAGGGGAGGTTACAGGAAACGTGAGGCCCACTGCCCCTTCCTGCGTGGCTCAGCAGCCCCTCCAGACTTAACCTCCAACTCTTCTCCCTCCAGACCCCTCTGTACCCTTCACAGAGGGCACCCACTAAATACTTAAGAGTGTGTTTCCTGCCACCATCCTCAATAATCCAGTCCCTCCTATCACACCACCTCTGCAGGTCCAGGCCCTTCAGGTGCCTCCCAAAGCCACTGCCTCTAGGAAGCCTTCTTTGCACCCTCAAGCCCATGTGGCCCTGGGTGGGTCAACCTGTTTGGTATTCAGTGGTCTTCTCTCCACCAGGGTCAGGGACTCCTGGCAGCAGGAACTAGCCTGGCACAGCTAGGCACTGGGAGCCTGGCCCAGTGATGTGCCCCACCCCCATGGAGGACACAGTACATTTCAGGCATCTCTGGGAGGCCCAGGGAATGAAAGGGGACATCCCCTGCTTGGGGGGTAGCAGTACTTCAGGTGAGACCCCTTTCTGTAGTGTGTCTATAGGTCAGGGGTCAGGAGACCCTGGCAGCCTAATTCTCTTGGGAGATGCATGCAACGGCAGCATTTTCTGACTTGAAGGCAGAGATCCTTGGTCTGACCATGGTCAGGAGGGAGCTCATACGCTCGGTGGCACAGCTAGGAAAAGGGCTTTGTCCTGGAGGCGAGGGGCACCTGGGCTGTGGCAGCAGATGGAGAAGCAAAGCAACTTGGACCCACTAAGCGTGGTCAGCCCTGGACAGCTCCCTCCCTAGTCACTGGGGCTTCTAAGATGAGTACTGGAGAGATGCAAGCCTACATGAGGACAGCAGCAGGGTCTGGGGGGGGGGGGGGGGGGGTGTGTGTGTGTGTGTGTGTGTGTGTGTGTGTGTGTGTGTGTGTGTGTGTGTGTGTGTGTGTGTGTGTGTGTGTGTGTGTGTGTGTGTGTGTGTGTGTGTGTGTGTGTGTGTGTGTGTGTGTGTGTGTGTGTGTGTGTGTGTGTGTGTGGCACCTGCTGCTCTCCACCTGCCTGGCTCCTCCGCCTCCTTCCCAGCCCTGAGAGCAGATTCCCAGAACACAGTGCCTGATGCGAGCTCAGGAGTCAAAACACCTGAGCCTGAATACCCCTGCCTCTCCATGGCCTGATGGAACAGCCACACCACACAACACCACAGTGCCTTGCTTTGCTTTTGATAAAATTAAAACCAATGAAAGATCGACCAGGAAGCTGGTCAAGACTTACATGGCTATGATCACTGCCATTCTCACCATGCTACTTGGCACCACAGCTGCCTATAGCTGGCCCTGGAACTACCACGTGTGCTCCACCCACAGCACCACCCCTCAAGCCTACTTGGGATCCTCCGAGTCCCAGGTTCTAGCTCCACCTGAGTCAGGTAGACCCCACAGGGGTCTTCCAGAAGCTCACAGGAGCCTGGGCCAGGGCCCCCCAGGACTCTCCCTGGATTCTTCCTGTGCACCCCCATCCATGCCAATTCACTTCAAAGCAAGAGCCCTGGCCAATCTCCGCAGATTTCAATGAGAATGGTTTCATCGACGAGGAAGACCTGCAGAGGATCATACTGCGCCTGCTCAACAGTGCTGATGTATCTGAGGACCTGCTGATCGACCTCACGCACCACGTATGTACCGTGCACCCCGCTTCCCCCTAGGTAGGGCCCAGCATGAAGTGAATGACCTGCTGGTGTCTGGGCACACATCCTTGGGTGGCAGCACCACCAAGCACTCCCAAGAAATGGGCACATGGCAGGAGGCAAAGCCCACCTTCAATTTTCCATCCTTCTTATAAAACCCTTCCTGGGATTCCACACAGCAGTTATGTCCTCCCTGCCCATTGGTCCAGCCTGACTGGGCCTTGCCTGGCAGAGCCCCCACCTGGGCCAGGAGAATTGCCAAGTGGTATTATACCTCTGCTCTCACTGCCACGTGTGCTGGCAGAGCCACAGAGAATCCTCCGGGAAGTTAGCGTCAGCCCGAGGGGTCCAGGACTTAGTGCCCAAAATCCTAACTCTGGCGGAGGGACCCCGGGATAAGTCCAGGCGTGTGTCTTGTGGCCGCATACCCCCTCCGCACTGTCTGGCACCAGGCTGCCCTGGGTCTCCCTGCCCCCAACCAGGTCCTGAAGGAGTCAGATCTGGACAACGACAACATGCTATCCTTCTCTGAGTTTGAGCACGCCATGGCCAAGTCTCCAGACTTCATGAAGTAAGGGGTTCTGGGTGGGGGAGGGACAGAAAGGGCCCTGGTTACCCATCAGCCTGTGGGGCCTCTAGTCCTCCCAAGGAATTTGTGAACTGCCTGTGGGGGGAGAGGGAGAAAGGATGAGAGGGGGGAGGGGAGGAGGGCAGAGGGAGACTCCACAGATTCAGAGTCAGCAAAACTGGAACCGCTAAGGAATGAGGGGACCCTGGCAGCTTCTAAGCCAGAGAGGAGGCCAGGGGACCAGGCTTGGTCAGGATGGGATGGCCAGCACCCACTAGGCTCCATGGGGAACTTCTGGGAGCTGCGGATCCACACGGTGGATGCTGGAGGTCACAGGGCAAACAGCGGTCAGTTCTGCTCCCACAGCAGAAAAGGATCATCCTGGCCAAATATCCTGAGTAATTGATGTTCTCGCCTGTCCCAGGGCAGGGGGAGCCTCTGAGCAGCCTTAGTCTTTGGGGGCCCCTCCCATTCCCCTTGGAGGTAGTGCTCAGCCAGAGAAGATAGCCCTGCTGGACCTGGGGCACTCCTGGCTGGGGACCTGCAGCCTCTGCTCCAGGGTCTTATTCTGCCCAGACATCGCAGCCCAAGGGGTCTTCTGGAGAACCAGCAAGTGAGTGTATCCACCTGGGTGGCCTCACCAAGCCCAGCTGTGACAGCAGCACAGGGCAGGCCATGCTCTGCACCAGCATCCCACCTCTTACCCTAGCTCTCCTCTGCACTCAGCTTCCTGCTGTTTCCCAGCCATCTGTGTTAGGCCAAGTGTAGGCTTCCTGGGTTCTGGGTGATCTTGAGTGACTCCTGACAAGGTCTAGCAGCTCTGGCTCCCACTGCCCAGAGAGAGCATGCCTGCCTGGCAGGGGTCAATGTCCACCCCTCTTCCACTGGGTGGAGGGTAGGCTTTCGCTCCCACGTGGCTGCTGTACAAGGAACAACCCCAGCCAAGGGTGATCCTGTGTCTCCCATGGCAGCCCAGCACAGCCCAGGTTCCCCTGTGAAACGCACCCCCTCCACACACACACACACACACACACACACACACACACACACACACACACACACACATTTTCTGACATTGATTCTGCAGAGGCCCTCTGCACCCCGGGGATGCTAAGAGGCTGAGAGTAGGTCTGGGATAGTTTGGGACAGCCAAGATCTGGCTGCGACAAGTGCATCACCAGGGCACAGGCTGGCAGCTAGGGATCCCCTTGGCATCGAAGGCTCCCCAACAGCTCACAGTGTTCCTCCTTCCAGCTCCTTCCGGATCCACTGCTGGGGATGCTGACAGGGCCACCAATGACCCGAGCCACCTTGAGGGATGTGACGTCTGGGACACTGGAGCCTCGGTTGTGAAGGGTGAAACCTTTGTCCCCGAGCCTCCCTCCGTCTCTGGATATTATTTATTAAAGAAACAAAAGCAGAAGCTGCTCCATCAGCCTTCAGCCCTGCGCCGACTGCTTGTGCTAGGGACTGAGTCTGCCAGTTGGTGCAGCTGAGTTAACTAGACTGGCTTCAGATCTCAAGCCCAGGCCGGGCAGGAGAGTTTCCGAGAAAATATCAACACCCCCATCACCCAACCCCAGAGATACACATTTGGATGGCAGCCATTCCAGTTGGCACCTGGTTTTCCTGTCCTTGGCCGAGGAAGGCAGCACCTGGGCCCATCTGGGTCCCTCTAGGCCCCGAGGCCCCTGGGAGAAGCCTGCACTTTAGCAGCTCCCAGATTGATTTGTTCAGCTCTTTGGCCATGACCTGGAATAAAGTTAGACATCATGGAGGCTCTTCAGGGTTCACAGGGTCGGGGACACTGGGATATGGGAGAAGCCCCCACCTTCAGGTGTCCAGATGCCCAGATGAGGGGCATCTCTGCCCTGTCCTGGGACAAAACCAAGCACCATCTACAAGTGGCTCTTTTACCCTCAAGAGCTCCTTGCCTGGGCTCCCCAGCTCTCCATCCTGACTCCCCAACTCAGAGGCAAGGATAGCATTCCCTGGACCCAATTAGGGGGCGTTGGGATGTTGGAGAAGGCCTGTGGCTTGAGGCGTACCTAGCTCAAGGGCTCCAGCCCAGCCCCTGTCCACCGAGGGGCCATCGCCCACATCCTACTCCTTTCCCCGGAGCCTCTCAGCAGGTGGCAAGCTGCAGCCTGGTCAGAGGACATCCTCTCAGTCACCCAGTTTGAGCATCTAATTTCTGAGATCATTCCCTCTCATTCCCCTTCTAGAAATATCCCCCACTCCAGGGGCTGGGTACCACATGAACCTGCCCACGCCCGAGACTGGGCAGAAGGCAGGGTGCAGCTGCTCCTCCCAGGCCCCACTCCTCTGCAGGGTTCCTCAGTGTCCCAAGGGTTGTGTATCTCCTTGGGCCACAGGCCAGGTGAACAGTAGCAGAAGTGGGCATGGGTGTCAGAAAGACTTGGGTTCCAACCCTGGCTGTCACTTTCCAGCTGCTGGCAGCTTCCTCCACATGTCTGAGCCTCAATAACATTACCAGATGTGTGGGAAAAGTAAGACCCCTTGCAGGTTACCATGGGGAGCCAGCAAGGCAACATGGAGCTCCCATGGGAATGCCTTCCCATCTCACACCCAGGGCAATTGTTCTGGGGCCACGTTGCCCTCAGTCTCAGATCCGGGTCATTGGTCTTCCTCTGTGATGCAAGCAGGAGTGGACAGGAAGTCTCTGTACCGGAGTGGGCCACCACTAGGACTCGGGCAACATCCATCACTTGCTTCTAACAGCTTCTCCTTGGGGGAAATAAGGGGTGTCTGCACATTGCTTTTCATTGGCTGGAATCCCTTGGGCTGAACTTGGCACAGGCCCTTAATTAAGCTACTATGCTGCTGGGGCCACACATGAGACACAGGGGGCTCTCATGGCCAATGGCTTTATTCCAAGTCAACCAACCCGATCAAGGCCTGGCTGTCTGGCATCAGGCACTGGGCCTCATGCTCTGAATTCAAAGTAGCAATCTCGCGTCTGTCGCTCCTGCGGGGAGACCCTCTTCCCTGAGGGGAAGGCCTGGGTGGTCTTCAGGTTCTCCGGGGAGAGTCTCAAAAGGTGCCATTTGTCCTTCGGGCTCAGAGGAGGCCTGGAGGGTGAGGATCAGAGCCAGAACTAAGCCATGGTGATGATACTGATGACAATGAGGACGATAATGGAGATGGTGATGATGACAATGATGTCGGGGACAGTAATGATGATTATGACGATGGCGATGATGGTGAAAATGAGATCATGATGACAGTGATGGTGGTGATGACAGTGATGATGATGGCAATGAGGATGATGACATGGTGTTGAATGATGATGACAGAGATGGTGATACTCATGACAATGACGTTAGATGGCCATGGTGGTGACAGTAATGATGATGATGATATGGTATTGCTCATGGGGCTGGAGATGGCACCCCAGAATGAGCGGGACCTGCCCCAGGCCACACGGTGAGCCAATGACCCTCCTACCTCCAACCACCTGGTTAGCCCCTTGTGAAATGCTCAGCAGCTGCGTAGGCTGCAGACAATTTCAAAAGGGAAAGACTAAAGTTTCCCAGGCTCCTCAAGGTTCCAGGAGGCGCATATTCAGGCCAGAGTGGTCTCAAGCATAGACCCGTCCCAAGACAGACTCACCCTGTCTCTAGGGACAGACTGGCTCCTGGCCACACCAAGCAGTGCGGATGGGCCAGAGAGTCTTGGAAGAGACACAGAGTCCCTCCCAAATCTGGCCTCCAGCAGCCGGACCCCAGCACTGGCCCCCCAGGCCATCAGCAAGCAGCAGTTTCTCTTTACCGAATGAGCCCAGACAGTGAAATCCCTTTCCTGACAAATTTGTAAAGGGCACGGAAATGGTTGAGGCTCTGGACCCTTGGGGAAAGCAAGGGGTCCATGTGGAACTCTGGAAACCCTAGACCTGTCCATTGACCTGACAACTACCCCTGGGGTGGGAGAAGGTTGGATGGCCGGGGGAGGGAGAACTGCGCTCTGGGAAGCCCTCCTAGCTTCCTGGGCCAGGCTACAGCAGGACAGAGCTGGCCTGCTCTAAGAGTATCTCCCATAGAAAATCATGTGGGAGGGTGGAGTATGAGGTGCTGTCCTATCTAGAGTGGACAGTCGGACTTTCAGGATACTTACTCCTGGCCAAGCATTGTCCATGGGTGGTGCTGAGCCCCTGGCTCCCTGCCCCATGTAGTACCTGACATATTCACTAGAGGGCAGCAGTTCCTTGCTGCTCCCAGGGACTGTGTGTATGGGGTAGCTGTGCGCTACACCTGCCAGGACACGAGGGGCACTCTTTCTGGCCCCTCCCTTATGGAACCCAGGCTCCTGCCCCTGGTGCATTGCAGGCTCTCAGTCCAGGTGTTCAGGCAGGCAGATGTCCCGGGGCAGCACAGGCGCTGGGAAGGTTGATACTTACAAGTCAGTGGGGATGGGGTAGAGGTCTTGTTCCTTCACAGGCAGCACGAAGTAGGGCACCCGGGGCAGCATGCCCGTCTTGTCTCGATAGTAATTCCGGTGTTGCTGTGCCAGCTACAGCTCGGCCGAAGGAGAGACAACACATGGGACCTGAAAGAGCTGCGATCTGGGGCTCAGCTGTGCCCAGATGGGCAGGAGGGTATCTAGCCCCATGTTGAGCCTCAGCGTGGGTCCCCACAGTTGCTGGGTCCCTGACCATCACTAGCCAGCTGGGTGTCCTCTGGGAGCCTCAGCCCTTCTTCTGATGACACCTGCCATGCCAACTTTGCATCGGAGCCTGAGACCTCCAAGCTCAGCATGGGAACCCAGCTCAGTGGGGTCCACGCAGCCCCCATGCAACTGGCACAGTGTGAGCTTGACCCAGATTTGTCTGTCCCTCTCTCACCCTCCCTCCTGGTTAAGGCAAGTTCTCGGTAAAGGACAATCACAGCCCCGCTGAGATGGTCCCACAGTCCCTCTGAGCCCAATGCCATCAACCCTGCCCTGTCCCCAGCCTTAGTTAAGGGGCATCAGTGCGGTCTTCTACTCAGGCACAAGGTGCATGGGGTCCTCCAGAAACTCTAGGAGCAGACAGTGACAGTAACAATCCCAAGGCCCCCTGGCACCCTGCTCTAGCAGCACTGGGAGTAAGCCATGACGTGGGGATGGGGACAGATCAGGGAGGTATGGGCCTGGGCCCTTGCCTGTTTCCCACTGGTTTAGGGGTTCTGTAGGGTACAAGGTGTCCCCCTGACACACACACACACACACACACACACACACACACACACACACACCCTGGCTGGCACCCCTACTCCTCACAGCAGAGGCCATTCACCTGGTAGAAATGGGCAAGCTTGGCAGAGCGGCTGGCATCCAGGTTGAAGCGCGTGTAGATGGGCGCCAGTCGGCGTGCCCGGCTGGGGACGAGCACCAGGCCAGGATCGGAGGAGAAGATAGTGGGGAAGTGGCTGCTGCGGTTGAACAGAGCCTGGCCCTTCGCCATGGCTGCAAAGCGTTGGTCCTGGAAGTACTTGAGGGTGGCAGCCCCATAGGAGGAGCCAAAGGAGAAGGCCACAGAGGGAACGTGACCTTGGTACCTGGGAGAGTGTGGAGAGGAGGGGGAGGGTGACGAGGCCATGGCAGGGGGAGTGTACGGGGAGGACACCACACATCAGCCAGAGACTCTAGGGTGGCTTCTGAGAGATGCCGTAACAATCCACCGTGTCAGTGGGGTCCTGCGGCTTCCCTGGCCTCGGCCAGCTTCCCAAGATATACTGAGCACCCCAATCGAACTGCTGGACTCAGAACCCTAACCATGAAAAGACAGAGGACAGAACAAGTCAGTCAACTACCTCAGCTATATGTTGACAGTGAAAAATTGGGCAAACGAAGACTCTATGATGGACTATCAGTGGATTCTTCAGCAACCTCATCGTGCTTGGAATGGCAAGATTGGCAGCAACACGTAACTGTTGAACTATCAAAACCACTTGAGCAAGACCCTCGGAGCATGCCCCACATCCGGGACCTGGGGTGGGTGGGAGACTGGGTGGGGCGTCTCCCTTTACCTTCTCCTCTAGCCCGATAAGTGACAAAGACAATGTGGAAATAATAGTCTTACCCACTTTCCTATAGGCCCTTGAACCTTTTTGCCCTGATTAACTATGTAAAGAATGTCAAAAATAAAGAAAAAAATATGAAAGATATATTGAGCAGGTGCAAATAGAAGTTTCCCGCCACACACACAGAAGTCTGCCCAGATGGCCATCTTTAGATGCCAGGACATCTGGGCAGGCCCTGATCCGAAGACAGTCCTTCCCTCCTCCCCACCCCCAGCCCTGTGGCCATCTCATTAAAGAGCAGAGAGAGACTGAGAAGGAAAAGATGAAGGGGGACCAGTGTCAGACCTGTCACAGCCAAAGCTGGGGCCGATCCCCACACCACAGCCTCAGAGAGCCTTAGACCAGAGAGCCTTAGGCCGGCTGCCACCCCCAGTGAGCACCAGGGAGGCCCTGGGAGGTGGGTGAGTGGAGATCCCAGCGACACCACCTGCCCATGGTCTAAAGGGATTTGCTGGGAGATAGCCTGAGACTGGTTTTGGCAAAGCAAAGAGGGTGGCAGCAGCACCCCAAGGACATGGGCAGCAGACTTCCAGCAAACACGAAGGTGGTGGCCCCAGGCACCCCCTTCACTCCCATCCTCTGACTTCCAATATGGACTCTGAAATCCTTCGAACCTGGTGGGCACCCCATACCACTCCAGGTCCAGCAGAGAAAAGCCAGGCTTGTTTTTATCACCCACATTCTCACCATCCTTCAGTTTTTGTCTACACTTCTGATGGCCCTCCTCTCTCCAGCATGATCCCTCTTCCCTGCCAGGATCCCTTGAGGCTTTCCCCAAAGAGCAGCATCTGGACCTGCTGGAACCATCACCAAAGCACGCCTGGAGCTCTCCCTCCCACTTCACTTACACTACTTAGTGCTAACATTACTGTGCTTGTGCTACTTCACTTGTGGTAGCTTCTGTGGCCTCAGGCAGGATCCCATTCCCCAGTGGCCTCACAAGAGCATCCTGCCTGGTGTCCATCTTCCTCATGTCCTGAACCCTGCAGCCCCTCTTGCACTGTCAGAGCTCAGGCACAACCACCAGCTACCCAGACTGTGGCCTCAGTGGCTACCTCCCTTCCTCCTGTGGACTACACACACCTATAGGCATGTCCTGAGTGCATCTATGGCTGGAATATGAGCTTGCGTGTTCCCAGGGAGGTACAGGTGGGAGGTCCTTAGTCCTTGGGGATGCACCCTCAGAAGGTCATTCTCTTTTGACCTCCTGAGTTCTCTCTCCATCATCACTCCCATCTCCTGCTCTCACCCAGGAGCCAAGCACATGGGATTACCCCATTTTGGACTTGAACTTCTGAAACTGAACTAAATGAGCCTTTCATTTTTACCAAGTTGGTCTCCTTAGGTCCTCCAGCACAGCAAGGAAATGCTGGTTAACATCACTTGGCATCGCAGCCACCGAGGTCTGGCCCTGGCTACCCTTCCAGCCTCATCGGCTGACCTGCACCCCGGCCCAAAGAACCACTGTGGGTCTCTAGAAGTGATGCCCGTTCTCTTCCTTTCCTGTTTCTTCTCCCATTAGGATGTCCAACCCATAAACCCCAACATCCTCTAGCCCCTGGTCTTTGCCTCCCAGATACTGAATAGTCCTTCAAGATCAGCCCAGGGTCACACTCTTTTAAGAACCATCAGCTCTACAAGGGCTATGGGGTCCTGTTCCCCCAGGCACCCCAGAGCCCCCGCTCTTAGCCACGTCTCTGCTGCCATCTCACCTTCCTACACAGCAAGCTTTGTAGGGGAGTAGAGTTTGGCCACATTTTATTCATGGCTGCACCCCTGGATCTCAGTAATGGATCTGGTACGGGAATCATGGATGGGAAGTTGTTTACTTAACAAAATAAAGGATGCAGACTAGGTGTTGTGGCATTGTGGGTTATACCACCACTTGGGATACTGGCATCTCCTATGGGAGGGCCAGTTCTGGTCTCAGCTGCTCCAGTTCCAATCTAACTTCCTGGCTTTGCACCTGGGAAAGTAGTGAAAGATGACCCTGTACCTACACATGAGACTTGGATGGAGCACCTGGCTCCTGGCTTCCACTTAGCCTAGCCTTGGCTGTTTGACACATGTAGAGAGTGAACCACCAGATAGAAGATCCGTCTGTTGCTTTTCCTCTCAAAAAAGCAATTTTTTTTTTTTAAAAAAGGGAATGACACATGATCACCATGTCAATATCCTGGATGACATTTACAGTTGGACCTAAAGACCAGTGATGGTGCTCTAGGGAACCCCAATACACCCCCCAAAGCACCCCCTCCATGGAGGAGTATGAGTCTCCCCTTCTCTCACTCACAGGCCCTCTCCTGATGCTGGAGCATGCTCAGTGAAGCCCCAGGAGGTTCAGGCAGCCTGCCTGGCCACAGCAGCAGCATCAAGTGACTCGGGGCTGCCTCAGGGTCTGTCTCCACACTCTATCTTCAGGAATAGGGTCAGGACTAAAGTCAGAGACCCTCACAGCTCTCCTTGGAGGGGGAGAGCTTGGTGACAGAACCAACCAAGAGGTGATCGGAGAGAGCAAAAGCAGCCCTGCAAGGTGGGGCTACTTGAGTGTGACGCGTGGGGCGCTCCGGGCTATTTCAGACAGAGCCGGGAATAGCAGCCAGGTGGATGTGAACTGCAGAATAGAACATCAATGTTATAAAAACCTGTCAGAATGAAGGGAATTTAAGCACCCGAATCAGGGGGTGGGTGTAGATGGGGGCGCGTGTAGCCAAGAGTCTCCTTACAGCAGCCAGCTCCTGGCACCTCAACCCCAAACAGGTTGCAAACGCAACTCACTTGCCTCTCTCCATCTCTCTCCCCCACCTCTCTCTCCATCTCTCTCCCCCACCTCTCTCTCCATCTCTCTCCCCCACCTCTCTCTCCATCTCTCTCCCCCACCTCTCTCTCCATCTCTCTCTCCCTCCTCCCCCACCTCTTGCTCTCTCTCATCGCTCCTTTTTCTCCTTCCCCCAACTCCCTTTTTCCTTCTCACTCTCTTCTTTACATGGAATTCTTACAAACTAATATGATTAACTGACATATATCTAAAATCTATTTTTCCATTGTGTTTCTATTTCTTTTCAGTTGGATTCTAGTAAAATTAAACTTTATGCTTTCATTTTGAAATAAAAATATAATATATCCTACTGTAGCACATTCATTTTTAAACGTGCTTCTTATTTTTATTGGAAAGTCAGATTTACAGAAAGAAGGAGAGACAGGGAAAGAATTTTTCCATCCACTGGTTCATTCCCCAAGTGACTGCAAAGCTGGAGCTGAGCCTATCCAAAACCAGGAGCTTCCAGGTCTCTCATGTGGGTGCAGGGTCCCAAGGCCCTGGGCCATCCTCCACTGCCCTCTCAGGCTACGAGCAGGGAGCTGGACAAGAAGCAGAGCTGCCGGGACATGCATTGGTATGAGACGCTGAATGCAAGGTGAGGATTTAGCCGCTGGGCTACTGTACCAAGCCCTTAGCAAACTTCTTTGAGCAGTGAGAGTAAAAAAGAGAGAGATGGGGTGGGGCAGACAGAGAATGACCCCTACAGCTGAGGCTTGGCCACGCTGAAGCCAAGACATCTAACCAGTTCTCCCCTGTGGATGTCAGGGACCCAACCAGTTAAGCCATCATTCACTAACCCACCTCGTGAAAATGCCTGTGAGCAGGCAGCTATGAGAGCTGGAGGCAGGTGCTCTGATTTGGTGGGGAGGGGACAGGGCCCAGCCAGCGGCTCAGCCACTAGGCCAAATGCATTCCCCAGTATGCCTGTCGTTCTGTGAAATGACTTCTGTCTTCCTATCCACCCAGCCTTTGGCCTCATCTTTGATCTGAATATAACATAGAGAAGCCCAAGGTGAAGCTGTCACCAGATGCTGAGCTCCCCTAATTCCTGAGTTAGAGATCTGCGTGCTTTATTATATTCTTCTTAGGACACTGGACATTTTCTAAACAGCAGGTCAGGTGGCATCAAGGCATTTGTGGACACCATGGCCAAGCCCAGCCCACTTGGAAGTTGCTGAGTGCCACACTGGCACCTGCATGGGCACGGCCAGATCCTGCCCAAGTCAGACCATGGTGCAGGCTCTAGGGCTGTCGTATATAAGAAGGAGGGAGGCCCATTCCAACCAGAAGGGGTGGGCGGAGCTTCAAGGATGAGTGAAGCTTACAGAATGTCCCAGAGTATAGCAGCCGGAAGAGATGGGTCTGGATGGGACCCCCAGTTCCTTGTCTCCTCTGCTGGCCACTGAGGAATGTACCTCATACAGCCAGCACTCTGTGTGCCTCCCCACCAGCACACTTGTTTCTGGTCTCTGTGCTTATTGCCAGGCTTACCACCCTTTGCCCACTCTGTTGCTCCTCAGTGCCTGGCACCTACCAAGTGTTACCATGTGCACTGAAGGAGGGGGAAGTCCTCGGGCATTATTTGAAGAAGGGCCAGGCTGGGGTCAATGTTGTGGCACAGCAGGGTAAGCCAACCTGTGACACTGGCATCCCC